GTTACGAATTTGATGCCCCTGACTTAGGCTATCGAACCCAACTCTGCTCAGTTCAGGAATCCAAATCATTCCGTATAGAAGGGTAATTGTTTCCATTTTCAAAGTGTGTGAAAGGTGTTTTTTAAATACTAAAAATACATTTTTCTGTAATATTCATTGCTTTGTATTTCTGTGATGGAATTATGGGAATGATAGGAATGCAGGCTTGTGTACTTTCAAATATGCAATTCTTGATTTTTAAGACTAAATGTTCTCAGTTTCTTCATTTTCTCATCATGTGACTTAGCTTCTAAATCCCTGATAGTTTTCATTATTATTTTCTACATTTGTCTAGTTTCTCTAAAACCTTAAAAGTTTTCTGCCTGAAACCAGATGCTACATGGACTACAACCTGACCATTGCAGAATAAAATGGAAGAGTTATTTTATATTATAAAATGTCTTTGTTGCCTGTAGTTGCCTTTTTTCTTTTTAACCACCTCACCACTGACTCAGTTTGCAATCTGTTACTAAACCACATTATTTTTCTGCTTGGCAGAACACTTGCTTTACTCTCCTCCATTCAGCCCCAGTTCCTTAACTTCCATCAGCTTTTGAGCTGATAAAGACCACGTGGGAAATATCTAAAGAAATTTCTAAAGAAATATCAAAACAGTGACAATGCTGGGAATGTCCATATTGCTGATACTCCATTGAATCCATATGCAACTCAGGTCCTGGAGGATGTATTTATTTTTCTAGAAGCCCATTAAATAGCACCTGAGTACAATGGTGGTGGTGGTGGTGGTGGTGGTGGTGATGAATGCAAGATGGTGAAGATAACTTAATACTTTTGCCTCCTATTTTTTTCCACAACAATCCATTGAATGTCTTGGTGTCTTTTGCTCTCATAACAAAAAACCACCCAAGGCAATTCCTGCTGCATATGATGCATGACCTGCCAGGAAGTTCCAGGGGAAATAGCAGACTGCTGCTCTATTTAAAAAAAAAAGAGTGCTTTAATTGTTAAGGAAATTTACCTTTTAAAAATGTCTGAGTATTATCTTGTGGCATGTGGTTTCTGTTTGTTTTGTCATGGTTGAACAGGATTCAAAACTTCCTGAGTCACAGTGTATCTTCTATATTTCTCAGTTCTGCCAGTTTCTCATGTAGCATCCTCTTGTTTCTTGTTATAGCACCTATTTTCTTTGAACTGTTAAAGATTAATCCTTTTACATCAATTGACCTTTTCTTCATAGACCCCTGTACATTTGCACTTGCTCCTAATACATGCCAATTCATTTTTGAGTTGGATCACAAACATGCTACAAGCACTGCAGGTCATGACTACAGATTCCCTTCTTTATCTTTACATTTGTTTATTAAAGTTCTGTAGAAGGCTTTTATTTATTGTTTCTTTCTCAGGTAAGACAAGGATACACTGTTCCAACAGAGGAAGAAGCTTTTTAAGATTCCCTCCCCACCCAACAATTCACATTCTCTTTTGGTCAAACTCCATTTTGAATATGGTGTCCATTGCAGTCCCACATTCCATTTACTGGAGGTTTTAAAAATAGATTGGACAGCCAATTGTCTGAAATGGTATAGGGTTTCCTACTTGAGCAGGGGGTTGGATCAGAAGACCTCCAAGGTTCCTTCCGTTATTCTATTCTGTTATTCCAAAAAGTATTTGGGGAAATTAAAACAGGTTCAAAGGAAGGAATCAAGAATGCTAGGTGACTAGAAATCAAGTTCTTGAGCAGATATTTAAGGAATTTGTATGTTTAACCTGAGATAAACACAACTGGGAAATATAACACTCTTCAAATACTTGAAAAGATGTCATTTGGAAGAAGATGAAGACTTTTTTTATTTCAGGATATAAAATACAGAATAATAAATGTAAGTCATTGGAAGGGAGATTCTAATTGAAAACTAGTAAAGAAAATAAATAATCACGGAGGCTAAATAGATGGCTAAATCATCATCTGCATAGAATTTGTTAATTGGATTCCTGAACTCAGTAGATGATTAGACTTCATGACTCAAATCCAATTTTATGAGTTTATGAAACCTTACTAACAAATTTATGTTGGTTCTCCTTACCTGCTAACAAAAGCACTTACATTTTATCTCTTAAGTGTTTGCTTTTCTGTAGATCATCTATATAACTATTAAAATTTTCATTGTTGTGACCTTTAACTAGGAAAAATGGCACATCACAGGGCAACAGTTTTTGAATCAAGCTACTTCAAATGCAGTAATGTACAAAATCTGGGACCCCTGATTCTTGAGGGAATGAAATTTTCGGAAGTTATGGCTGGTTAGCACTAGTGACTGCTGCTGTGGTCACATGATCTATTTTCAATGTTCAGGACCATTTCCCAGTCAGTCTCTCCTTCATTCCTTCCCACACCTAGTAGCAGCCACTTACCTGCCTGTTGGAAAGGGGATGGAGGGAGATTTCTGATTCTCCCTGCTAGAGTCCACCTAGGAAATTCAATGGGAAGCTGGCTGGAAGTTAGAAATTGTTTCCTGCCCCCTGCTTTTTTGCCTGCCCTTGGTCATTCTGTTTCTCTGGATAAGGAAATGTCTGAAACAATGACTCAGTTGGGCATGGGTTGTCTAGCAATCTTTTTATTTCTTGACTATTATTCTTCCTCCTAATTATTGTTATGCTTTATCTTTATTTGAAAAAAGTATACAAAATATGTCAAGAAACAAAATCTAAATATAATCCTAATTCTAAATAATACAGTCTTTAAAAAGATAGCTTACGTTGCAACTTAATCCCAGCTGAATTTCTTGATCCTTGAGTTCAATCGTTTCAATAGTTATTTAGAGATCTTAAATTGTGGCTGTTACTCGATACATGGACCTCTTTAATACTAAACATATCCATTGTTTCCTGATGCTTAATTTTGTGAAGTGAAATGTGTAAGTTGCAGCTGGGATCTAGAACCTGTTGCAACTACAAGGATCATGTTTTGAATATAATAATAGAAGTATCTCTTTTCATATATGTTGTGCCAAGGCTGGGCATATCTTTAAACATGAGACAAAAACTGCGGGACGATACTAGAATGCATCTCTGTGCCCCTCAAGCTGATCAGTTTCTTTGAGACAGTGTTCTAGCAGTGATAGCACTTTTGGCTGAGCTAGGCTATTTTGCCAAATCCTAGAGCAGTGATGGCGAACCTTTTAGAGACCGAGTGCCCAAACTGCAGCCCAAAACCCACTTAGGTATCATTGGGTGCCGGGTAGACGTGGCCCATTGGCCAATTGGGTGGGCATAGTCCATTGGGTGGGTGTGGCTGCAGTGGTAACGGCAGACTGGGTGGGATTAAAAAGTTCAATCAATTCCAACTTTGCGAGATCTTTTTTTCCCCCGCGAGAAGTTGAAATTGGCCCAAAGCGAAAAGGTTTTGTAAAACCCAGCTGAAGGCCTAGGATTGGGGCGACAGTGCACGTGCCCACAGAGGGCTCCGCGTGCCACAGGTTCGCCACCATGATCCTAGAGTCATAAAAATGGGCAGCAAACAAATCTCTCCCCCCCCCCAGTTATGAATTATATAGTGGGCATTGCTTGTCAATATATGATGAGACTTGTCTTGCACTCTTTGGGCCACTAGTGAATGGGGTGAGGCATTGTAAAAATTGCCTAACCCTGGTTCAGAAAAATTAGACTTTCTCGTGTGCATTTGAGGTTGCTTAGAAAAATATAGATACAAATCTCAGTCCATTCCATTGGTATATTGTAGGGAAAGGGGAATTTTGTTTCTTGTAAGCAAGAAAAAAGTCTTGAGTTTAAAGTTTCTAAAAAACAGACACTGAAGTCTTGTGTTTGCTATGCTTACTGATGTATGTGTATGGAAAGACTGCTAAAACAGATATACACAGTATTTAAAAAAGTTGTAATTATCAACCAAGTATACATAGAATTGAATAGCCTTAATAATTAATATATTAGGTTGCTGAAAATAATGCCCCATCAATTTAAAAATGCAAAAACTTTAATTCTTTGTGTTTTGGCTCTTATATCAGCTTTACAAAGGAATGGGAATTAGTTGTGACGCATAATACATAAGATGTTTGAAATGCAATTTCAGTTCATCCTTGGAGTTTATGTTCTGCTCTGGTTATAAGATTTGATAATAGAGTTGAAAATAGAATCTTTAATTACTGAGTTCCTATTTAGATATTTCTTACGAATGAAGATGGGACTGAAATACCTGTATGGCATAACATAAACAATATATTATAGATTTGATAAACCTTTTAAAGAAAAAAAAACTTAAGAAAATTATTCTGGGTACTATAAGCCCAATTTTATCAGCAAAGCATTTAATACAAAATCTTTAAACATCCCCCTTTGTTACATATATGTATCTTAAAACGACATATATGTATCTTAAAATGAATTCCATCACTTTAAATTTCTGGATGGATTTTGGATTGGTGCAGGGTGGTTATTAACTGGAAGATAGATAACCTGTCGTATCAGTGGAAATTTTTTGTGGTAGTTTTGAAATGATCGCAGAACTGTAATTTGTTGTATATTAGATATTGAAAGTTAGAATAGACCTATTAAAATAAAGATTTAAATTGACCTTGCTGATTAAATGGTAGTGATCCATAGATAATCCATCTAATTTACAGTTAAAAAAACTGAAAGATTTTCATGTGCAACCTTCTCCAGTAGCTTATTTTACATATTTGATTTTGAGTTGAATTTTCAGAAAAAGGATATTCATGGGGTTCGAATTGTGTACTTTTTCATAGTGCTTCAGTTTATACTTTTTGAAAATAAATTGAAGGTAGGTCTCTGTTCACTAAATTTTAAGTGTATTGATAACACTATTTACCATAGTAAAAGCCTGTTTAAATGTTGCATGCTTTAATGTTGATAAAAATTATGTTATACAATTGAAGCCTGAAAAAAGAGCACATCAAATCTTTTAAGAGATTATATGTAAACAAGAAGTATCTTGTAATTAATTTCATGTTTTTTTGACTTATTAGGTACTCAAGGAGTTACATCTAGTCCAGTGATTGGGCTTCAGACACCTTCTACTGGCCTTTTAGGTGCCCGACCCGGTTTGATACCACTTCAGAGACCTCCAGGAATGCCACCACCTCATCTGCAACGTTTCCCAATGATGCCACCTCGGCATATGCCTCCTCATATGATGCACAGAGGTCCACCTCCAGGCCCAGGTGGTTTTGGAATGCCTCCACCTCATGGGATGAAGGGCCCTTTCCCACCCCCAGGTCACTTTGCAAGGCCTAGTGGAATGCCTGGGGGTGGTCCAGTTGGATCTGAAGATAATAGAGATGGAAGGCAGTTCAGGAATGACAGGCCACCATTTACTCCACATAGAGACCAGGAAAGGTTTGGAAGGAGATCTTTTGGGAATCGGATAGAAAATGAACGTGAACGCTATGGCAACCGTAATGATGACAGAGAGCATGAACGCCTTGGTAATCGTGAAAGGAGAGAATGGGGGAGAAGAAGCCCTGAACGTGATAGACACAGAGACTTGGAGGAAAGAAATCGGCGTTTCAGTGGACACAGAGAGAGAGATTCTAGAGATAGGGAACCCCATAGAGAAAAAGATGAAAATCGAGGAAAGGAGAAACCTGAGCTAACAGACAGAGTAGATGGGGTGAAAAACTATGAATCTCAGAGCAGTAAAATAGAAAATACAGACTCTGTTTCAGAACTTAATAAAGAGTCTGAACCTATTGGTGTGAAACCAAATGAAGAAGTAGCATCTGAGTCTACCTCATCTCTTGAAAAACCTGAAAAACCTACTGGCTCAGTTGTGGAGGCTCCTCGCTAGAGACTGGAATTTGTCAAAAATTGCATTGGAGTGTAGAGCTTTAGAATTGTACAGTATGCTGTATATTTGCTTTTGCTATATCACAATTCCCCCATAGTTTATGGGGATATGTAAGCAATTTGATTGCTTCCCTTCTATTTAAAATAGCTACACAATAACATGAAAAAAAAAAATAAACCATTACCCATTTTCTGCTGTAACTTTTTTAAAGTTTTGACTTTAAAAAGTTTACAAATCAGACTTAGAAGTGCTTTCTATTTTTTTTAATTTAAGTGAAGGTAAAATGGTAAAAAGCTCCTAAAATAGGGATGTGTTTTTAATAAACTCTATTTTCATAACAATCCTTAACGTGTGCTATTCTTCCTATGCTGCACTGAAGTGGTAAAGAATTGTTCAACATCTTAAAAGTTTGAACTAATGCTGTACTGGAGTCTAAATTAGACTGTTTAAATCTGTTAAAACCGTTTGTATAATAGTTCACAGAAGCTAAATATGTGATAGTTACATTGATTTTAAATTTATGCATTTTAATTAACTACATTAGATAAAAATTAATAGCTTTTAAATGTTTAAAGAAATCTGGTGTTTGCAGTGTAGTCACTTTTTTTCCTGGCCATCCAATAAATGCTGTGGTAAATGTTGCCCTATAAATAAGTTCCTGGACTTATACCAGCTCCTGTGGAAAAACTTTTTCTGTGATTTAACCCATTAGTATGTTTCGGCTTGTTCACCTCCAAATTACCACTGTATTTTAATGTGTCTTGAAATAGAGTATATGAACTACTAAGATTTTTAAAAGGACTTTTGCATTCTTTTGCCAGTAACCAAGCTATTTAAGCTGGTTGTGTCATCATAACTTGTAAGTGAAAGAAACAAGTATTAACTCCATTAGCAAATGCCAGCAAGCCTTAAGAGTGATATACATTTTATTCCGTGATTTATTCTATACACGGTGAAACTCTTAATCTGAAATTACAGTAAATAGCAAGTACTGATGCCATGAAACTTTTCTGTTTTGATTTGGTGTGTCTTTCAGATAGCTTGTTATGCTCACTTAAGTGAAAGTATAGATTCTCCCCCTCCCTCCACTTAATTTTTGGAAGATTAATTTAGAGGCAAGATTCTTCTTTGCAATAGAATAAAAAATAACTTTATATATTCTTGTGAAATTAATTTGTGTTGAACTGTTTCCATACCATTTATCAGAATACTAAAATTGATTCTAAAATTCATTTAGTAGCAGTCCCTAATTTGGCAAAGGTCTTCATGTATGTATCATTCTTCTTCATGATCAATACTCTCTTGAAAAAAATTCAGTGTGTTAGATATAAAATTTATATGCGGCACTCTCACAAAAGACTCCAGCTTGTTGGCCTGCATTTTGTTTTAGATCTTAAAACAATACTCTTAATGGGCTGTTGTCATTGCTAGTTACCAGGTGGTGAAACAGACTTTTGTGGACAAAGCATATACATTGCCAAGTACCGTGTAGCCAGCTTTTAAGACAAGGCCACTAATTTGCTCCAACACAGGTAAACACTGCTAACAATTCTGATTTCTCTACCTTTAGCATTAAAAAAATATTAGGACCAGATTTACTAATCAGTTTTTATTTTCAGCAAGGTCTTCTTTGAAATTCCATCTTTATATAATAGGATTAGTAATATTACTAAATTTAGGGTTTTTTGCTTTATTTTAAATGCCATACAGGATTTTGCAGATTTTGTTATCAGAGTTTGTTATCAAACTCTTAAAGGTCTAAAAATGAAGCCCATGTGAGCCATTTTTGAAGTGGCACATCTACATGCCCACTTTCCATAGTGAAGCAACTGCCTTTATAAAGGTAATGTAATATAGTTATGTAGACTTCATAGATTATTACTTAAATGAACATATTTTATTTGGTTTCTTGTAAAATTTAACATTTTAAACCACATCCCATAGCAAATAGCAACAGTTCTATATAAAAAAATAATTTGGATATATGGAGTAGTGATCAGGCTGTCACTTAAGATTTTGACCAGGCTTGATTTACTAATTAGATAAAACCTAAAATAAGAATTTGCCAGATTTTTAAAGAATAGGATTGTCAGACTAGCTGAGAACACAGCATTAGAGCGATTTGAGATGTCCAAAGCATTTCTCTTAGAATCTTTTTTTTAAAAAAAAAAAACTGCACACTCAACATCTGTATAATATCAATACTCTGCATTTGTGTTTTACAGCACTTTAATAACAGATAAAAAGGTAAATGGAACAAGACTTGTCAGCTTAAATTCCAGCTTAATACAACTATAAGATTCTTTTTTAAACCATAACAAAGCCCAGTAATTGGTAATTCTACAGACACATTTATATTCCACATATTGTACTGCTTCTATTCATTGTCACTCATAGAAGTACTTTATACTTTAGCTAGTCCAATCACCCCACAAGCTTGACGGGAACCAGCATTTCCAGTTTTCAAGCTCTCTTCATTTCCTCCTCTACCCAGATCATCCTCTTTTTCATGAACCTAAAAGGCACAAATCAACAAGTTCGGATCAATGCTATTAGTTAATAAAATTGTAATTTTATTCTCAATTTTCAGGTTTTCTTTTTTTAAAAAAAATCCCCGTACCTTTGTTGAATTATAAATGCCTGCAAGAAATTACATATTCTACCATATCTTAGTATGAAGAAGAAAGTGTCTACTAGTTTAACAGTAAGTTAAAATTAATTAAGATGCTGACATATCCTTTGCTCCAACATGAACATAAAATGCTTACAAGGTACTGAGCAATCTTGTTCCAGGGAAAGCAGGCTTCATGAAAAATATGATGAGCCATAGTATGTATCAAAATTTATACTGAGGTTCTAGATAAATGCAATTAAGGGATCAAAAAAGGATTACTGCCTTCCTTCAGTGTTGTGTGGTTATTCCTATATGCTCGTAATATGGCTAGCAAATCTGGATAGTTTTCTCCATGTGCTGGTAAATTACATCTCATAGCATTCTTTGTTACTGGGCAGCCTGATTTGGGCCACTGGCAACTATAACCTTATGAATAGCCACATGTTCAATATCCTTAGTGTACAGGAACATCTTTCTATGCCGATTAATCTGAAAATTTATGCATATGCAGAACTGTATCTTATATTAGGGATCTCTGCTGGATATTTCTCCATCTAGAATTTATACCAAGACATCAAGAAATCTGGACTTAAGGATGCTATCGCCCAGGTTTAGTCAACGGGTTCCATATCAACTATTTTACACATAAGTCCCTGTTAATTATCACCCACAAATTCTGGGTTTACAGATTTTTTAAAAAGTACTTATAAAGGTCATTCAACTTACAAAGGTTGCGTGAAAGCCAGAATAAAAAAATAAATTCCCATACTTACCACCATACAACGTCCAATAATTGAATATGGTCCTGAGAGGGAAATAAGCTTGTCCTCCATTGACACCTCTGCAACACCTGACTCATTTGCAATCACATTCCCAAGATCACCAACATGCCTGGAACATAGTTATTTCACAGAGTTAACAATAAAACTTGACCAATAATGTCTTTTATACACAATTTTCTACAATACTACCGCCATACAGCTGTTTTCAAGCATGAAAAGTCATGTTGATCAGTTTTTGCGATCATTCAATTGTAGTTAACTGTTAGAAATACTATAGCCAACTAATAATACTCTTAACAATATTAGTCAATATTTAGGTATTAATCATTTAAAATTTGCTGTAAACAGAATCTTTCACAAATGCAATATCCAGTTACACCTAAAAGCCCGTAACATTAGTCTTAAGGCTTCATTTGTAAAAAATAATCTAAGTATACTTCAATGCCAAATACAATGCTAGTTGTTTAAAGTTTTCCTATGGCAGCCATTGCCTTTTTTACAGTTATCATGATCAAAATACTGGATCTCCTTTTGCGCAATTCTTAAAGTAGCAGCTGTTAATGAGATAGAGAATTTATAACTATACAAGCTTCCAGAATGTCCTGAAAAGTTCTGCTGGGATCTATTTGTAATATATTCCTACAATTACAAATTGATATTTTCATTATAATTCATGTGTATACAAGTACTGATGCCTTTAATTGTATGGCTGTATTTTGCTTGTTCAAGTAGTAACTGTATTTTTATTTTTGGCAATGCTGAATAAACTGTATGAAGCACAAATCTCTTGCTACGTCTTCAAACTAGAGTTCATACAGAAATATTCCCCTAAACATTCTAGCTTGGTGCCTCTGAACAAGATATTAAGGAAAGAAAAATCAATGTATTTATTCATTTACTTATCAAAATTATATCCCATCCCCAGAATGACTACAGGTAGTCCTCGACTTAAAACAGTTTGTTTAGTGATTGTTCAAAGTTACAGCAGCATTGAAAAAACTGACTTATGGCTACTTTTCAAACCACCATTGCATCAACCCCATGGTCACATGATCAAAATTCAGATGCTTGGCAACTGACACATATTTATAATGGTTTCAGTGTCCCCGAGTCATGTGATCATCTTTTGGGACCTTCTTACAAGTAAAGTCAAGGGGGAAGCCAGATTCACTTAACTTGACAACCGCAGTGATTCACTTAGCAGCTATGGCAAGAAAGGTCATAAAATGGGGCAACTATCTTGCTTAGCAACAAAAATTTTGGACTCAATTGTGTCTTAAGTTGAGGACTACCTGAATTTTTAATCTGTAAAAACCTCGTAGTTGGAGAATACATCAGTTACCATCTTTAGGACACAATATTTAGGGCTGAGATTTAAAACAAAGGTTTTTAGAGAAAGAGAAAGGCGGCGAAATAAAAAGCTGGAGAACACAATAAGATAGGAAGAAGCTAAGTTACTGAAGGAAGCAGGTGTCCTCATAAAGTACAAAAAGCAGCTAAAAAAAGGGTCTTAAACAGAATCTACAAAATTAGTAATTGAAGAGATAATGAAGAGAGACAAAACAACAAGCTAGTGATAGGACCACTGCACAAAGCTCTAGGGGTTCATAGACTTTTACTTCTACCTTGCATGTGCATGCGCAGATAACATTTCTGAGATTGTGAGCCAAGTCACTGGGAACATGCACGCCTGCAGAAAAAGTTTTGAAAACAGTCTGTGTGAAGCAATTTTAATGCTTCCAAGAGTGATGCTTCTTTTACACTAATGAGCTATGCAAAGCATCTCTTTCAAATATTTTGAATAGCTGTACTATTAGTACCTGTGACTATTAACACTCTGGGAAATTCTTTGGGAAGCTTGAAAGAGAACACATATATCTAACCTCAAGTTAAAGAATTAGAAAGGTGGACTTGGATTGCAAAGTGCAAACCCACTCCACCAGAAGT